ATTATTTTTAGAATGTAATAATGTTCAATATTCAATATTTTATCTATTTTAAATATGTAATATTATTTTTTATTTTTGTCTAAATTTTGTGTCGAATCTTACGATTCACGATTCTCAAATTTAGGATTCCGATTCACAATACGAATAGCAATTTGACAACTATATTCACGGGTATTTCATGAGTTGATAGGTGATCAATGGGTTAAACAGGATCCCTAGAAATCAGAGCATCATAGATTCCATAAACTGGTCAGTCTCTGAGAATTTTTTTTGCTTTCATCTATTTAAGTACTATGCAAGTATGCATCAAACCCATAGGATGCTCGCTTTTTTTGTGATACAAAATGCCCTCGGGCACTGGCATTGTAAAGTATTTTAATAGAATATATTTTTAAAATTTTTTTTTTTATTCTTTGAATTCTTAAAATTAAATATGAATAGAAAATACATAGTAAAGGTTGAGACACCCAAAAGTGAGAATTTGGTGGCATAACCATAAATAGAGTAAGACTCTTTAATATACCAGTATTAGACCGACAAAACAATTTTGAACCTTTAAGAGGGACATTATAAACACGAATTAAAAGGCTCTTAGTGTAGTAGGGATAGCTGCATTAATTCAAAGCATAAGCCAAGAAGTTCAGCCCATAAGTTTCATTAAGAAAGCATGTGCAAGAACTTCAGGGCAACTGGTCTTAACATCAGAAGCAGGACTTGAGTCAGAGCAGTTAAAACAAATGCACGTTATCCCAGTTCTAATTTGGATGTGTCATTATACTCACAAAACATAAACCTAAAAAAAAATTTACACAATACGATAATTTTAGTGTTGTAGCTAGACATTCTGTTCTCATGATAGATCAAAATGAAACCACCAAGAGTTAAGACATCATGTGTCCATCTGATTTGAAAACAAGACAGTATCTGAAATGGATAAATACTCACCGTCTCCAAGTCCAACACATGAAGATCGTTGAAAAATAGTGAATGAGAACAACCACCAAAAATTAGGAGGTAGCGTTGTGCATGCACTGCAGCTGTGTGATCAAATCTTGGAGCTGGAGGCGTCTGCCTATCAAAGTACAACACAGTGATGGGACTTTTCAAGAAGATGTAAATCAGTGGTCTATAAAGTAAATGGACACTTACGTAGTCTCCACGACATTCCAAGTCATTGTCTCAAGATCAAGAACATGAACATCATTTAGCAAACGTCTTCCCCTGTCTTCTCCACCAAACATTATAACTTTAGAACCAAAAAGAGTGACAGACTGGCCACCACGAGCTACCTGGAAAATACACCATGAGCAAACCACCAAAAAGTCCATTAACCAAAAGAATGCTAACTTCACATGTCTAGATTGAGGAAGAATGATTGAGACTCTTGTTCTCCCATCTGACTAAATAGCTAACAACTAGGAGAACATAATAAGAAAGGATATAATAAAATTGGACAATGAAGGCCAAGTAAAGAAGTCTAGATCAGAAGTCAATGAATGCAGTCAACTACCGGAACTTTTCCAGAAGTCTCTACAACACCACACTGATGTGATTCAAGATCGATGAACCGCACTACAAAAAATAAATTACCAATGAATTAATTTCAAAAGAAGATCACATTTTTTTTCCCAGGATGAAAATAGCTCTCAAGGAAAAAACCTGTCACACTATCAGAAACATTCTTAGAGTGGCCAGCAATGAGAAGAAGTTTGTTTTCCCACTTGATCTGCCAAGGAAAATATAAGTAAAGATTAATTAACCAAGTGATCACTGAGAGTGCAAGCATAACTACTTTGTGGACTAGTGAGAGTCAAATAACACTAAACAGAAAACGGTGATTATGCTTTAGTATCTCACCATACTGTGACCAGATGAAGCCGGAAGTTTTTCTCGTGTGCTACTATCTTCCACCTTATCAGCATTTGGTTCCACATTCAGTTTTACAGCAGACCATGCCAAACTTCCAAGATCCAAAACCTGCAAAATGAGCAGTTACCCAGAGCCAACAAGTAAAACAGGATTTTGACAATCTGAAGTCATGTGCATGGCCTTACCTTAACATCAGATATGTACCGACCATTACGACTTCCACCGGCAATGTATAACTTATCATCAACCACAGCTGCTGCATGCTGCAATCCAACGAAAAAAGTCAGCATAGTACGACAGATGTGAAAAATAACAGAAAGGAAAGTATTATTGATACGAAGTTTCAACCCAAGTCTGTTTCAGGAAACCTTTATAAACATCTACCATGTATACGTTTCTATACAGTAAGAGATCAATATTAACTGAAATCAACATGTTGGCCTTTAGCTATATCTAGTGTAGATTCAACATTAAATGTGGACCACGTGTAGGTTCTTACTTCTTAGCTATTGTTAGTGTAGAGTTGGCTACTAAAATAAAAGAGAAACTGATGCACGCTTGTCAGCATCCTTTGGTGGTGGCTGGCTGGCTGTTCAATTATTAGACATTGCAAATCATCCATCTTGACTTTTGTTCTCCATTTACAGATCTAGTTTGTCTTTAGGCAAAGCAATCATGGTGGCTTTATCATAGGGACATAATTGGATGGTCTAATACACCCCCGCTAGATGATAGGTCGAGGACGAACCCTTAGCTTGGAACGGAACAACTGAAAACGAGAAGTTGATAATCCTTTGGTAAAAACACCGGAAAACTGATCTACGGTGCATATATAATGAACGTCCAACTATTTACAAACCACTTTTTCATGGACGTAGTGGTAGTCAACCTCAAGATGTTCTGGTCAAGCATGAAAAACAAGATTGGATCCAAGAGAGATGGAATTGATATTATCACAACAAATCATAGGTGTTGATAAAAAATTAGGAAGATTGCAAAAAAGTGATCGCAACAAGGAAATTTTAGTGGCTGTATAAGTCAATTGACAAAATTATGCTATGGTACTGGAGCGAGATACAGTTGGCTGCTTCTTTCACACTCCATGGGATTGGACTGGAACCAAGATAAATACAATAGCCTCCAGTGGATCGCCTATCCTCGGGACTACCAACGTAGTCAGCATCGGGATATGCTTCAAGTTGAAGCGAATCAGGTTGAAAGAGGAGACCATGATTAAAACTTAAGCTACCGCGATACACTTGACAGTAGACCAATNAATTGACATTGTAAATGGTATCGAAGGCATTACACATTGCATTGCATATGCACTACATTCGTAGACATTGACACGAGTGTGAGTGTGAGTATGTGTGTGCATGAGTTTGGGTCAATTACCCCTTAGGGGAGTTGATGGGTGGACTCGAGAAGGTTGGACTTAGGTCCGACTGAGTTGCACTAGATTTTACATAAATAAATGTGTCGGAATGTAGAAAGAAGGGTTAAATTCTCCTTCAAGTGTAAGGCCAGCAAAAATTTGGATACACAAATTCTGGTGGTGTAACAAGCCCACAATATTGTGAGATGACGGGGATAGAGCCACAGATGAAATGTCTTGAAAATCTATCTGAGGTGTGGTGTCCCTTTGGTGAAATAACATAAATCGCCCCACAAAGACACAGAAAATGAATTAATTAATCATTGGGTGTACATAGCACCAATGGCGAGGGGCTTGAAATGCCCGGATACATACGCATGATATTGCATTTGTTTTGGGAGCCGAAATGGGGCTCAATGTTGGTATTGCATGAGTGATTCTCATTTCAAAACATGGCATGATTTATGGCGTTTGTTCATGATAAATATATTTTAATAAATGCATGACATGATGTTGCAAAATGTATTTTGAGTTGGAAGGTATTCTCTATAGGAGTTACCCTATTGGGCGTTGGCTCACCCTTTATAGGAACATTTTGTAGGTATCACACGTATTCCCACCAAAGGCCCTCCTATAGGCCCGCTTTGAGGATAAAGTTGGATTGCAGCTCTTATTTTTGGATGTTGTAACTTTTGTTTCTATTACAATGACCTTGTATAAATTTCTTAAACAAAACTTGTATTTAAGGAATGTATATGTGACTCTTTTGAATATTTATTCTTTTATGAATGAATGTATGCATAGATAATAGCTATGGGTTAGTATTCAATACTATGTGATTGAATATTGATGAACGGACCCGTNCATGTATATGTGACTCTTTTGGATATTTATTCTTTTATGAATGAATGTATGCATAGACGATAGCTATGGGTTAGTATTCAATACTATGTGATTGAATATTGATGAACGGACCCGTTGTCGTCAATATTGTATAAATGTACAAGTTGTGTATTGCGTAGAGCTCCTCATACTTCCTGAATTTTGTGAAGTTATGAATCCCAATAACGGCGTGGTATCAGATTATATGGTANGTTTGGCAGATGTCATGTTTGTGCGCTTAAGAAGATCCAAAGCATATTCAGATTGAGTCAAAGATAGTCCTTGCGAAGTAAAAATAGCCTCAGGACCCATAAAATAGTGAAAGCGACCAAGATCCTTCATAAAGAAATGAGACCCGAAACCGGAGATTAGTTGAAGCAGATGGGGATCGCTATTTTCTATGAGAAGAATGTCAACCATGTAAATTAAGTGAAAAATGGTTACTCCATTGCANTGCGATTCGATTCGTACGATTCGCGATTCGATTCGTACGATTAGGTTCGATACAGATACAAAACGATTTGTATCTTATATGACAATCATTTTAGAGTTGAATCACACCTAAATCGTACGATTCGATTTGTATCTCACGAATCGCACGATTCAATCAATTTTTCTCAAAACCCAAATTTTTAACAAAACGATATCGTTTTATCCGTTAAATAGTAAAACGACATCATTTTATTTACAGAGGAACCCACACCCTAATAAAAACTTTACCTCTTTACTCGTTTTCTCTCTGACATCATCTAAAGCTCGTCTTGCGTCGTTTAAATCTAAAGGTCACAACTAACGCTCTTGCATCATTAGTTAATTTTTGCTCATAATTCTTTCATGGGTAGCTTATTAGGTTCTAATTTTTTGTTTCAAAATGTTGGACTATATGTTTTCTCCCAATCAATTTTTTTATTTGTTTTTTTTCATTCATATTTGTAACCTAATCTATACTAAGTGTCACTATTTTGGTTCTTGAATAGTCATGACTATTTAATGAATTCTTTTCCTTCAAATTGTTGAACTTAAAAATGGTCAAGTAAAAGATGAAAATGAAACAAAATATTAGCGTCTTTACATTTAGACGGCATGATTATGTCAATTAATTATTTTTAGAATGTAATAATGTTCAATATTCAATATTTTATCTATTTTAAATATGTAATATTATTTTTTATTTTTGTTTAAATTTTGTGTCGAATCTTACGATTCACGATTCTCAAATTTAGGATTCCGATTCACAATACGAATAGCAATTTGACAACTATGTTCACGGGTATTTCGTGAGTTGATAGGTGATCAACGGGTTAAACAGGATCCCTAGAAATCAGAGCATCATAGATTCCATAAACTGGTCAGTCTCTGAGAATTTTTTTTGCTTACATCTATTTAAGTACTATGCAAGTATGCATCAAACCCATAGGATGCTCGCTTTTTTTGTGGTACAAAATGCCCTCGGGCACTGGCATTGTAAAGTATTTTAATAGAATATATTTTTTTAAATTTTTTTTTTATTCTTTGAATTCTTAAAATTAAATATGAATAGAAAATACATAGTAAAGGTTGAGACACCCAAAAGTGAGAATTTGGTGGCATAACCATAAATAGAGTAAGACTCTTTAATATACCAGTATTAGACCGACAAAACAATTTTGAACCTTTAAGAGGGACATTATAAACACGAATTAAAAGGCTCTTAGTGTAGTAGGGATAGCTGCATTAATTCAAAGCATAAGCCAAGAAGTTCAGCCCATAAGTTTCATTAAGAAAGCATGTGCAAGAACTTCAGGGCAACTGGTCTTAACATCAGAAGCAGGACTTGAGTCAGAGCAGTTAAAACAAATGCACATTATCCCAGTTCTAATTTGGATGTGTCATTATACTCACAAAACATAAACCTAAAAAAAAATTTACACAATACGATAATTTTAGTGTTGTAGCTAGACATTCTGTTCTCATGATAGATCAAAATGAAACCACCAAGAGTTAAGACATCATGTGTCCATCTGATTTGAAAACAAGACAGTATCTGAAATGGATAAATACTCACCGTCTCCAAGTCCAACACATGAAGATCGTTGAAAAATAGTGAATGAGAACAACCACCAAAAATTAGGAGGTAGCGTTGTGCATGCACTGCAGCTGTGTGATCAAATCTTGGAGCTGGAGGCGTCTGCCTATCAAAGTACAACACAGTGATGGGACTTTTCAAGAAGATGTAAATCAGTGGTCTATAAAGTAAATGGACACTTACGTAGTCTCCACGACATTCCAAGTCATTGTCTCAAGATCAAGAACATGAACATCATTTAGCAAACGTCTTCCCCTGTCTTCTCCACCAAACATTATAACTTTAGAACCAAAAAGAGTGACAGACTGGCCACCACGAGCTACCTGGAAAATACACCATGAGCAAACCACCAAAAAGTCCATTAACCAAAAGAATGCTAACTTCACATGTCTAGATTGAGGAAGAATGATTGAGACTCTTGTTCTCCCATCTGACTAAATAGCTAACAACTAGGAGAACATAATAAGAAAGGATATAATAAAATTGGACAATGAAGGCCAAGTAAAGAAGTCTAGATCAGAAGTCAATGAATGTAGTCAACTACCGGAACTTTTCCAGAAGTCTCTACAACACCACACTGATGTGATTCAAGATCGATGAACCGCACTACAAAAAATAAATTACCAATGAATTAATTTCAAAAGAAGATCACATTTTTTTTCCCAGGATGAAAATAGCTCTCAAGGAAAAAACCTGTCACACTATCAGAAACATTCTTAGAGTGGCCAGCAATGAGAAGAAGTTTGTTTTCCCACTTGATCTGCCAAGGAAAATATAAGTAAAGATTAATTAACCAAGTGATCACTGAGAGTGCAAGCATAACTACTTTGTGGACTAGTGAGAGTCAAATAACACTAAACAGAAAACGGTGATTATGCTTTAGTATCTCACCATACTGTGACCAGATGAAGCCGGAAGTTTTTCTCGTGTGCTACTATCTTCCACCTTATCAGCATTTGGTTCCACATTCAGTTTTACAGCAGACCATGCCAAACTTCCAAGATCCAAAACCTGCAAAATGAGCAGTTACCCAGAGCCAACAAGTAAAACAGGATTTTGACAATCTGAAGTCATGTGCATGGCCTTACCTTAACATCAGATATGTACCGACCATTACGACTTCCACCGGCAATGTATAACTTATCATCAACCACAGCTGCTGCATGCTGCAATCCAACGAAAAAAGTCAGCATAGTACGACAGATGTGAAAAATAACAGAAAGGAAAGTATTATTGATACGAAGTTACAACCCAAGTCTGTTTCAGGAAACCTTTATAAACATCTACCATGTATACGTTTCTATACAGTAAGAGATCAATATTAACTGAAATCAACATGTTGGCCTTTAGCTATATCTAGTGTAGATTCAACATTAAATGTGGACCACGTGTAGGTTCTTACTTCTTAGCTATTGTTAGTGTAGAGTTGGCTACTAAAATAAAAGAGAAACTGATGCACGCTTGTCAGCATCCTTTGGTGGTGGCTGGCTGGCTGTTCAATTATTAGACATTGCAAATCATCCATCTTGACTTTTGTTCTCCATTTACAGATCTAGTTTGTCTTTAGGCAAAGCAATCATGGTGGCTTTATCATAGGGACATAATTGGATGGTCTAATACACCCCCGCTAGATGATAGGTCGAGGACGAACCCTTAGCTTGGAACGGAACAACTGAAAACGAGAAGTTGATAATCCTTTGGTAAAAACACCGGAAAACTGATCTACGGTGCATATATAATGAACGTCCAACTATTTACAAACCACTTTTTCATGGACGTAGTGGTAGTCAACCTCAAGATGTTCTGGTCAAGCATGAAAAACAAGATTGGATCCAAGAGAGATGGAATTGATATTATCACAACAAATCATAGGTGTTGATAAAAAATTAGGAAGATTGCAAAAAAGTGATCGCAACAAGGAAATTTTAGTGGCTGTATAAGTCAATTGACAAAATTATGCTATGGTACTGGAGCGAGATACAGTTGGCTGCTTCTTTCACACTCCATGGGATTGGACTGGAACCAAGATAAATACAATAGCCTCCAGTGGATCGCCTATCCTCGGGACTACCAACGTAGTCAGCATCGGGATATGCTTCAAGTTGAAGCGAATCAGGTTGAAAGAGGAGACCATGATTAAAACTTAAGCTACCGCGATACACTTGACAGTAGACCAATGGTCAATAGTAAAAGAGTGCATATACACCTAAACCTGATTAATCGCTAGGAAATATCTGGATGAGTTAAAGTTAAGACATTGCAAAGCACCCACCACACTTCAAAATTTGGTGGGGTCAAGAATAGAAGTGTCATTAGACAAGGGCATCTTCTTCCCATTAGCCATTGGGGAAGAACATAATTTGGCAGATGTCATGTTTGTGCGCTTAAGAAGATCCAAAGCATATTCAGATTGAGTCAAAGATAGTCCTTGGGAAGTAAAAATAGCCTCAGGACCCATAAAATAGTGAAAGCGACCAAGATCCTTCATAAAGAAATGAGACCCGAAACCGGAGATTAGTTGAAGCAGATGGGGATCACTATTTTCTATGAGAAGAATGTCAACCATGTAAATTAAGTGAAAAATGGTTACTCCATTGCAATGATAGGTAAAAAGAGAATAATCAACCTGAGATTCAAAAAAACCCAAATCTTCAAGATAATTAGAAAAACGCTAAAACTATGCTTGCAGATCGTGTGTCAAACCATATTGAAAGAGAGAGTGATGTAATAATACACAAGATATGCAAACATAGGGTCCTCAAAAACGTGAAGTTGACGCATGTAAACCCCTTCACTGATTTTCCATGTAGAAAAACATTTGCACATCAAGTTGGCGAATTGGCCACTTAAGATTAACAACAAACGAAGAACAACACAAATGGTTGTATGTTTGACAATTGGGCTAAAAGTTTTTGTATAGTGAAGACATTCCATTTGATGAAATCCATTAGCAACCAAATGGGCTTTGTAACACTCAATAGACCCATCCACATTACGTTTAATCTTGTACACCCATTTGTTTGAAAATAATTCATCGTTGAGGTATACTTGACTAAGGACCAAGTCCCACATTTGTGCAAAGGATTGAATTCAATGCTTGTTGCATATCTCTATTCTGCTCGTTCGATAGCTAAACTAAAACAAGTTGGTTTTAGTGCATACTTACGATTCAGTACTCAAATGTCGTCTTTGCCACGAGTAGTCATGGGATGAGAGGATGACGTTGCCAGTGGATCTGAGTCTGGTAGGATAGGTGGATCAAGGTGTGCAAGTGAATGGGGAATGGAAGATGATGTGGGATGAGGAGATTGGACATATAAGCTAGATGTTTCTCCACGAGGTGGTAGGCGATGGTAAGGTGGATGAGGAAGAAATAGTAGGAGATGGAGTGGAGTCGGATGAAATAAGCACCAGGGAAGATGTATTCGTTGGCAAGAGTAAGTTGACCACAAGCGACCAATAAGAAAAATTGGATTCATTGAACATAACATAACGGGACAAAAACACTGGTCCTTTGTTGGGGTGGGTCTAAATACCGATATCCTTCATGATTAGAGAATGTCCTAAAAATATGCATTGTTTGGTA